CTAAGACAATTTCAATTTGGTTACATCAATATAATTCACAGCTGAAAAATTTGAAACTAAAATAACAATACATTTTAAAAAGTAAATCTAGGTAGTTATGTAGTGTAATACAAAATGCTAACTCATTACTTCTCAGGTGGTTTGTAATCATGATAATGTGTTCAGCACAACTCACTTTCCTACATTTTACATGAACAAAAGCCAAAACAATTGGCAATTATGTGCTGATTTACTGGACAAATGAGCATTAAATGCAACAAGTGCAACTTTTCAGCTATGTATAAGTATTAACCTTAACCTTAATAAAAAAGACCCTGCACCGCTCCAGCCAAAATGTTCTTGCTATGAGGCAACAGTGCTAACCACTGATCCACCATACTGCCACAGATACACCGCCAACAGCCACAACATTATGATCACTGACAGGTGAAGGGAATAACACTGATTATCTGGCTATCATGGCTCCTGTCAGTGGGTGGGCTATATCAGGCAGCAAGTGAACATTTTGTCCTCAAAGTTGATGTGTTAGAAACAGTAAAAATGGGCAGTGTGAGGATCAGAGCGACTTTGACTAGGGCCACATTGCAATGGCTAGACGACTGGGTCAGAGCATCTCCAGAACTGCAGCTCTTGTGGGGGGTTCCCGGTCTGCAGAGGTCAGTACCTATCTAAAGGGGTCCAAGGAAGGAAAAGAAGGAGGACTTGACACACTGCAGTACATTCGTGATTTTATGAGTGCCCCTTGCTGGAGTACAATGCGCAGATTTGTATTTTCACACTGTGAATTTTGAATTCTGACAAATCATTAGATTGTTAGATGAGACGAATCTATCACTTACAGACACTGTGATACAAGCTTCAGGAAAACATTTTCCAACATAGCGAACTCCATTATATACAATGCTGATGATCAGCCAATAATATCGGTCTGATGTATTGGTCGGGTTTTAGTTCATTGCGCACAATGGGAAGCTGACTCTGTGTGTGTGTGTGTGTGTGTTAAGTCTGCCACCCCTGAGACCTTGTGGAGGTCAGGGTTCTTAGAACAAGAGGATGGAGAATGAGGTGAAAAAGAGGAGAGAGGATGATGAGAGAGGCTTTACCTCCAGAAAGAGAGAGGGGTGGAGAAGGTAGAAAGCAGGAGGGGCTTTGGCAGACAGCGTGCATGCCTGTGGGTGTTTTTTAAAGCCTGTTTATTTGTCGAGTGTCTGTGTGTGTGTGTACATGTGTGTACATGTGTGAGGGGGCTGGTGTCGTGACTCACAGGGCTATTAGCACCGGTGTCGGCTCGCTGGTGCACTGCAGTCGGTGTGTCGACACTGTGAGCTCTTACACTCACAAGCACACACACGTGCACACACAGGACACACACGTACTCATTCACACATGCACGCAGTCAAACCTCCCGCTTCAATTTATCAGTATGACACCAGAGGCCTCCTCTGAGGCGAACACCTGTCAATCCATTCTCATCCAATCATCACTCAGATAACCCCGGAGACCCGCCCCCGCGCTGCTAGCTTCACACAGCTGCACGCATGCTTGTGCAACAAGCCACATCCGTCTCACAACCATTCTGTTACACACACACACACACACACACACACACACACACAGTGAGGCAACCACATCATCCGTCACACGCAGACAATCACACAACTATCTTCCACAGACTCGTGCACGCGCCTTTGCTCCCCCACTTGCTGCTTCCACTGAGACATCCACCACCGTGGCGACGGTAACCGCGACAACGGGCATAAATTAGCGTCATGGCGATATGCAAAGCGAGGGAGCAACAATTAAAGCTTGACTAACGAGCTTTTGAGGAGCGAGGCTGAAGTTTCCCTGAGCAGCTGCTAACTGGATTAGCCTACACACACAGAAACAGAGAGAGGGAGAGAAGACGGAGCAGAGAGACAGTGATGTTTAAGCACCACCTGTGAGACGACACACACACACACACACACACACACACAAAGTCAAAGGCTAATATACACACACGCTAATGCAGACAAAGAAAACAGAGTATAAACACAGCTAGTATCACTTCACCCAAACACAAACACCATTACCAAGGGTGACTCAGGGGATATCAACATATCAGCACAAATTACAAATCCACACACACAGAAATATACTTACACACACACACACACACACACACACACACACACACACACACACACACACACACACACACACACACACACACACACACACACACACACACACACACACACACACACACACATTTACTGATCCAACTGAGCTTTGACAGTCATTCAACAGATAGAGCAGACACTGGGTTAGCTGACTAGTCCAACCAAGACTCATATTGGAATGACAGAAAGAAACCAACAGGCTTGCTGTTACTGAATCGTGAGATCTGTGTGTGCTAGCTGTTGCGACACAACACACGACAAAAAAGCAGTAATGAAAGTGTTGCTATTACTGCCATTGGTTACTCAGGCAATATGCTAGCTTTACAGAGTGAACGCTGTTGAATAAATCAAAAGTAAAGTGTGTGTTTAATAGCTCAATCACTCCAAGCAATTAAAGCTCTACTGTGTGTGTGTGTGTGTGTGTGTGTGTGTGTGTGTGTGTGTGTGTGTGTGGAGGGGGGGGGTTTCCGGTTGGTTCATTTCAGCCAACTGTAGCACCTCCTTGTTTGTTGCATTCAGCATATGTTGTCATTATTTTCAAGATTTCTCACCTTGACATACTGAAGAATTTTGCAGCTTTTTGTCCAATGTGCCTACAATTTGGGCACAGATGGTCTGAAAACTCTAATATTAACAGACTGATTGCCAAGATAAAATATATTGCCAATACTAATGCAGCAGAAGTAGAGATATCCTGACTTCCAGTCCCCTCATATGGATCAAGTTCCAAAAACACAGGATCCTACACTTCCCATAATGCTATCTGATAGCGTCTTTTTATTGCACTCTCCCATTCTGCTTGTCTTTCAAACTTTACACCGTTTGTAACGCTGACTCTTCATTAAACATTTTGTAGTCACCAACTCTCAGACTTGACAAAGCTCTTGCAGAGCCACAGAAGACATTTTAAAACTGTAATACTCAAGACTGATCTTGATGTGTAAAAACGGTGGACAGTATTATCACTAGTTGTGCACATCCTGTAAATATTGATGTAAAGCTCATCGGCACCCACCTCCACCCGAATAAATCACTAAATAATTGAAGAAAAACACACTGTAATTTCTGTTATGTTTAATAGTTAATTTGCTAATGTTATTTTAAACCTGTGTGACTATTCACTAAAAATAAACGTGCTAATTGCAGTACAGTCGTCCAGATACATGTAGAACAGTGAGTATTTTGCATTTCAGACACTCCATCCTGCATTGCTCACTTATTTCTGCCTTTTCAGGCTCTTGACTTTCTTTTTAATATGCTCCATCCTCACTCTACAATAAATCTCTCTCTTTCTGCATTTGCCTTTCTCCTTTTTTTCTTTTTCTTCTCTGCATATCCCTCTCCTCTCTCTTCCCGGTCTCCAATTCTCCTCTGCTCACTCAAATAAATCTCTCTACCCCCCTTCCCGTTCTACCCCCCCCAAAATCTATGAAACACACACAAACATACATGTGCACGGATTCGCACTCACTCACTTACGCACACAAACACACAGCCCTCCAGGCAGCAGCCACAAAGGCCCCATATTAATAAATCTGCTCCTTTATTGGTGCTGAGTGTCTCTGGCAGAGGGAGAAAGAGAGGCAGGAGAGGGGGGGAGGAAGGAGGAGGAGGAACAGGACAGAAGACGCAGAGATCACCAGAGGGGAGGAGGAGGGGGAGGAGGAGGAGGAGGAGGAGGAGGAGGAGGAGGTGGTGGTGACTTACTGACTGTAGCCATATCATGAACACAGGGTGGCAGAGTGAGAGAGACAGAGAGATAAAGGTAGAAGGAGACAGCATTGACGAGTGCATTGTCAACAGTGATGCACCCACTAACACACACACACTTTCTATTGACGATAACACAATGGCCCTGAGATAATGAGCAACACTATAAGAAGAAACATACAAGTGTGAGGTCTCACTTGTGTTGGTGTTTATTTGTTAAGGTATAGTCCACCCACACTTCCTTAACGTCCTCCGTCCGGTGGATTATTAAGGACACCTGACACCTGGCTGAACCACTGGAGCGCTCAGAGTGGGCTGTGCTGGTTGCTGGGCTCGGGAAACAAACTGCCCGAGGTGGGCTTTCAGTAATGACAGCAGCTAGCTTGGCTTAGTGGTCCAATCTCAGCCATCAGTCAGCTGTGACAGATTGGGGATATGAGCTAAGGAGCCGTTTAGCTTTGGTGTTTGGCGTGGTGTGTGAGTGCATGCGCTTGTGTGTCTGGGGGAAGGAGGAGTGGGGGGAGGCCATCAGTGCTGCTAGTGTTGCAGAGGCATCAATACACTCTCGACAGGCCATTTTCCTATGCCTATTCCCAGCCCTGGCTTGTTGCTGGGGCAACTACCGCCATTTTACCTTCCCTGGCTGCACCTCTGGAAGGTTTTATAAAGCAGCAATCCATTTTCCGTAATCTGTCCTGGTCAACTGTTTAAATAAGCTAGTATTTTTATTTCTTAATCCTTGCCATTGGGCATTCTGTGTGTAAAATGGAGTCAAGTTATCTGTGTATTTTACAGGAAACCTCCAGTGGACAGTTAGTGTTTCTAATAGCTCCTCAAGGGTTGATAAGCAAAAACTGTAGAGTGTTTTGTTCTCCTCTCAAGGTCGTGGGTTGAGTGTTCTATAACACCACCACCCTAGAAAATGGCACTCATTTCCACAGTAACTGCTTTCTGTTTTCATCTGAAGATTGACTCTGGAGTCAGGGCTCAAGCTACACACAAACTGCAGTTGAAGGAAACCTTCCTCCTGGAACAATGCAGAGCCAACAGTATTTACTACACGTGAACTGCGCCAGTGGAATGCAAACAACTTTGCCAAGCCACGATGATTAAAGGTAGTTTCCTTACCTGTCCATGAGGCTGCATGGGGTTGTAGGGCATGTTCTGGTTCAAAACTTTCTGCTTCATCAGCAACATCCTCTTCTGCTCCTCACTCAGGTGGGCTGTCTGTCCCGGGATTGGCCCCTGGGTCTGCCCTGGCCCCGCGCCCTGGCCGCCGCCTCCCCCACCACCCATGTAGGGAGGCATCATGGGGTTCTTGACCTGATTGTTCCCTCCCATGGGTGGAGTCATCCTCTGGCCTATGTGATCAACCCCACTGCCGCTGAAGTGACTCAGTGGTTTGGTGTTGTTATAGGACAACATGGCTGCTGTTTGCTGCTGCTGTTGCTGCTGTTGCTTGGACAGGGTGTTCTGGCTGATGCTGTTTGGCTGTTGCTGGCCCATCATGCCCATGTGGTTGTGAGGGAGGTAGTTGTTCATGGGGGCTTTGGGCCCATTGTTGGGGGCCATCCCAGCCACTAGAGGGCCCTGTGGTGCATTAAAGGCTTGCGGTGGGTACATCATAGGGCTGTTGGGTTTGTCTTGGTTAAAGGGACCAGAGTTATAGGGACTGGTTGGAGCGCCTGCAGGGGACCAGTTAGCTGCTTGTTGCTGCTGCTGCTGCTTCTGCTGCAGCAGCTTAGCACGTTGCTGAGCCATTGCTTTTAGCTGTTCAGCTGGAGAAAGTTCAGGTGTCACTGGCCCTACAGGCTGACCTCCAGGGGCAACCCCAGCCGCTCCAGGTCCTGTGCCTGCCTGACTGACCCCTGGGCCTGGGTTCATCATGTATCCATTCCCAGGCCTAGAGACTGCTTGCGTCTGAGCCTGGGTTGGGGTCTGAGGGGAGCGAGCCACGCAGTTGTGCAATGGGGAACCTGATGCCATGGCAACAGCTGGTGACTGCTGCAAAGGTTGCTGTGGAGGCGTTCCATTGGCAGTGGTGGCAAACTGAGGGCCTGATGATGATGGTCGGACCTGAGGAGAGGAGTCCAGACAAAAAATCCCATGAGACTCGTGTACCATTATGAATAGTTCAACACAGTGACAGGAGGAGATCTGCTTAGAATAAAGACTAGAAACAGGGGGAACAGATAGCCTGGCTCTTTCCAAAGTTCAGAAATATGTCTGTCAACACCTCTAAGGTTTTCTAATTAACACCTTGTCTCTTGTTTGTTTTTCCAATTTCCCAGTCTTGCTGTCAGAAGGTTTGGTATCATCTTGCCTATACAGAGACTTACACCAAAGCCTGTGTCTGGCAACCAGAGATTTGGCTGGTGGCACTGCACAGAAGCACTGGAAGGATGGATAAAATAGTCATGATATTTGCTTATTTGTATTGTATTAAGCAAATGAGATACAATTTGATAATCAGACAGCTTTGGATATGTTAGTAGGAGTCCATTTAACCCCAACACACCCTGTAAACACCCTGTTTGTTTGTTTCATGTTCTGCACATCTCACGGTTTTATTCATCTATTAAAAGATTTGAAACAATAAAAGGACACACCTGTTTGGATTTATTACTATGAACTGGAATCAATTTAAAACCAGTTCAAATGATCAGATTCCTGAAGAAAGTCGATCAAAAAGCAAAAATGAATTGAGCAAAGCCGAATTCATGAAAACCTTTCAAAAGGTAATTTCTACTCATTATCTGCAATCCTTGCATCAGGATCAGATCAAAAACTGTAATTTGCACAGTGACTGCAGATCATACATGGTTTATGAATTACTGCTGTTATGACATGTCGATCTATTGTGTTTCTTACAACTATAAGCAAACAGGCATTTAAATTGGTACCGACTAACAAAGGTGCCGATCACGATCACAAATCACCTAAGTTGGTCACAATTTAGGGCAGAGATAGGGGTCAAATACCCCTGCTATAGGACATCATACTAACCTGTGGTGAGCCCATAGGGACCTGTGGACCTCCCGGTGGAGCCTGAGGAGGAGGAGGCAAGGCTGCTGCTGGTGCCGACCCCCCTCCAGGTGCCGTCGTATTCCCAGCTGCTTCCTGTGGGCCTGGTGTCTGATTGTTTGCTGGCCTGCCAAACTCTGCCTCTTTCTTGTCCTCAAAGTCCTCATTGAAGAGGTCGTGCATATCGTCCTCTGGCACAGTGTTGGCCAGCTCATCGATCAGCTCCTGCCACTCTTGGTCATTGAGGTTGATGTCAGAGAACAGTTTGTTCTGATTGGACAGAGACTGGGGATCAGAGGACTCCATCCCACCTGTGTCATCCAGTGGCTCCTGTTTCAGGTCTTTAAGGAGGCTGAAGCTGTCCTCCAGGTCCAGCGAGCCATTCAGCTTCATGTCCGGAAGATGGCTGCCACCGTTCTTTCCAAGCTCATCTGACGCCTGGCCTACGTGGTTGCCATTGCTGTTTGTAGTGTTGTTTCCGGAGGAAGTGTTGGGCCCGCCAAGTATGGGCTTAATGTCCATTTGGTGATGCAGGGGAGAGATAGGTGGTACATTGTTGTTATTGTTGTTGTTTGGGAGACCTGTTAGTGAGTCCAAACCACTGGATCCCTCCTTCCGTACCCGTTTGGTGGTCGGTGAGTAGCTGCCTCCATCACAGATGCCATTCTGTTCTCCATTAAGGGGCGATCGAGCACTGTCCAGTTTCCTCTTTACAGTCTCCTGGAGCTGTAACAAGCAGGAAAAACACAAACAGATTAGGACTGGAGGAGCACCAGAGATGGGACATGTTAGCAATATGAAAACTTTTCTGAGGTCTTCAGGGTGCTAACAATGGAAACGACATGAGATACCAAATCAATAAGGCAACAGACTGCTTCCTCTCTGCACAAATCAAGAACTGTCATGAGAATGCAATCAAAATATCAGGAAGACAAATCAATCGTACTTTCAGAACAGATTCAATCTGGCTGAAGTAATGATCATATAATAAGTTCTGACACAGAACACACAAGCATGTGTGCACATTTTCTTAAACATAAAGTAAAACTTGGGGCAAAGCAATCAGACAAGCAGCCCTCTCCACGAGCAATCCCAGCAGGCTGGACTCGAGGATTTCTGAGGATGGAAGGAAAGATCAAAAGAACAGCTCGTTCCATCTATAGTATTCTCCCCATCATTAGCATCAGCCAATGGGTGGATGAGCTGCCCCATCTAAATCAACAGCCCATGCTTAGCCTTACTGTAGACAGCCTCCACACAGTCCGCTTAACTTGACAGTCGCACTGCCTCTGTCATGGCACCGACGAGATAACGACAGGGTGCTAACAAATGCTGGCTGGCAGTTAAGGTAATCACTATCATAGACCTGGGTAGGAGAGGAGAGGAGGTACGGTGGGACAGCAAGCACAAACTGAGACATAGCGAGAGAGAAGTGAGACAAAGGGAAGAAAACAGGGAAAGGAGCAAAGTAAGACGATGCCAACACTAGAAATTTTAATTATCTTCATTTTGGCCTTTTATCTACACATCTGTGGTATTAGTAAGGTTTGGACAGGATTTGACTCTATGCAACCCCTCAAATGGAGTTTTGTACAACAGCAGCGTGCATTTTAGAGGCTCAAAATATTGTTGCAATGGATAGGAAATGATTGGTTGTGTATTTAGGAGAGTAATATATAGAAAGATATAGACATCTCCCCTGAAAAAAAACCTACACTTTTCAACGAGCATGCAGACAAACTGAATTTTGTAATTTTCTGGTTTCTGTGCAATTTAATAAACTCTCAATCTCAATTTTATTCCTAACTCCTGTTAATTTAAAACCCTAATGAAGTTGGCAGAGAAATAGTAGATGCTATTAAAATGACGGATGGGAAGCAGGGACCTAATTTATGAAAGGTTCCCAGGGTGCAAATTTTGTGCTCCGACCCAAATCCAAGCCAAAGTTTGAGATTCAGACAAAAAGATGATCGTAGTTTTAAAATCAATAGCATAGGCTTGCATTTAACGTCACTGCATAGTTTAGTTACAGTATAATAGCTTAATTTTGTTCTACATATATCCTGGATAAAGTCAGAGACTACTCTTAAGAGCATCTGATTGCAGATTAGTCTGCTCACTTATGGCTAAATTGATTTTATTTAATACTATTTGCCAAAGAAAACCTTAAAATATTTTACACAGTACAGTTGACTTTCTAAAGTAGGTGAAATTATATATAATAGTACAATATCACAAAAATATAGGTTCAACACATTAATGACATGAAATGAAAATACATTTTGGCTGTACATGTGCAATGTAAATTTAGAAAAAATAAGAAATGTGGTACTGCCTGACTGAACCCTTCTTACACTGAAACCTCCGTCCAGTCTCATTACTAACACTCAGTTTACACACACACATTTGCACAAACATATACAAATGCATAGTCCCACAAATACACATTGACTGGAGCGGTTTGCAGGTTACACATACAGTCGCATCCTGCAGATCTACATTTCAAACAGTCTTCTGTGAAAAAAGGGAGCGGAGAAGCAGTAAAATATTTGTAAAATCCACACTCTCAGCTGTCACATGTGAAAAAGTCAAACACACACACACACACACACACACACACACACACACACACACACACACACACACAGCAAGGACCGCTGATACATGTATGTGTGCAAATGCACACTTAGCTCTTTGTTATTCAGATGGAACAACAGACAAAATATATTCAGATTGTATTCTGACCCTGAGGTGGACCCACTCAAGCTGGCAGACACACACACACACACACACACACACACACACACACACACACACACACACAAGAACACACAAAACACACATAGAAACACACATAGAAACACACAAATCATCCTTTTTTTGACTTTCTTGGTCTACTGGTGTGTGAATGTGTGTGGGGTGGGGCTGTCAGGTTGGCTTCCCCCTCTGTTCTGTTCTCCAGCGTGACTGACAGTCAGCCTAATTATCTTTATGGCATGATAAAGACTATTAGTATTGACAGCCAAAAAAAACCTACAGTGTGTGTGTGTGTGTGTGTGTGTGTGTGTGTGTGTGTGTGTGTGTGTGTGTGTCTGACTTGAACTCTTATGCTTGTGTAGCCATTAGAGGAACAACTGAGAAAAACACAGGAAAACACACATCTCCACTGTCACGACACAGCTTCATCAACTCTGTGTGTGTGTGTGTGTGTGTGTGTGTGTGTGTGTGTGTGTGTGTGTGTGTGTGTGTGTGTGTGGTCCTGCAATCAATGGGTTTAAATAATTCAGGTCTCCTGCATGCAGGTTTGGTTTTGTGTGTGCATGCAAGTGTGTGTGTGTTACAGGCTTTCCCTAAATGCCAGTGACTCATGTTGATAATAACAGACTCGCCTTTCAAAGCCCACCTATAAAAACTCCCATAATTATCCAGGTGGTGTGAACTATAGCACCCTCCCACAGATGCATGGAAGTACACACACACACACACACACACACACACACACACACACACACACACACACACACACACACACACACACACACACACACACACACACACACACACACACACACACACACACACACACACACACACAGTGGTTTTGCATACACACCCACCTACAAAGATCATTACCAGTTTAACCTTCTTGATAAAATCCTGAATATAGAGACAGAAACAAAGATGGACTGTGGTTCCATCTGCTCAGTACTGTATGAGTCAGCACGCCACAGCCTGAGGAAACGTTGACAGGATGAATGACAAAACCGTGAGCCAGAACGAAATACTTTATATTAACTCTAGTTAATTAATCATTTGTTTCTTTTAACACAATTAGCAACCTAATTACACCTCTGAATTACAGTAATACACCTGACATGCGCTGCGAAGGGCACTGACAACATTTTTATTCATTTGACAATCATGGCAATAAAATACCTGAATTGAGAGAACTGTGAGTGTTTGCGTGTGTCAGAGAGAGAATCGGAGCCAGGCGAGGAGAGGAGAAGATAGAGAGTCAGAGACAAAGAATTCTGAAGTAGTTTAATCAAGCTGGAGTGCTTAGCGTGAGCAAAGGGAAAAGAGCATTGGAGAAGAAAAAAAAAGGACGAGAGGATGTAAAAGAGCAAAGACAGGAGAGAGAAAAAGGAAGAGAGCGCTGCTTGTTCCCCCTCCTGCGTCTCTCTCTGTATTCTTTGACATAAACACCTGCTGACTGCTCCTCTGTCGGCTCCCGCAACAGACAGAGAGAGAGGGAGAGACAATGACAAAGATACAGAGAGACAAAGGTAAGAGAGAGACACACACACACACACACACACACACACACACACACACACACACCTCCTTTGAGTGGAGGAGCTACCAGAACATGAAGATGAAGAGGAGGAGAGAGGGTGAAGGAGAAAAGAGGTAGGTATGGGAGGGAGGGAGGAGGAGATAGGTGGCTTGATGGAAAGGCATAGCGCGCCAAATGACAGCGGGGAGCAAACGATGAGAGGGTGATCAGAGAGGGAGAGGGAGGGAGAAAGGAGAGACAGAGATGGAACCACTAAGGTGCTGTTGTTATAGCAACCTGCTGCTCTGGTGCTTTGTGCGCTGCATCCTCCTCCTCCTTCCTCCTCCTCCTCTCCTCTCGCTCACTTACTCCCTCTCTTTAAAGGTTGAGCATCATGTCGAATTCAAACCAAAGTCTCAATATTATAAGAACGCGTCTATGTCGAGACAGTTCCACAATTTTATGTTACAGACTAAATGTGGAGGTGTTTGGCAGACATGCGTCTCAGCAATGGAAACCTTTTGTCTATAGGATTACACTTGTACAGCTAGAGACACACGCCGTATTCCTCTTAATATCTATCAAAGACAGTGTTGTAAACCTAATCAGAAGTCAGCCAGCAGTTGCATCTGCTCTGCAATATATTTCATCCACGCTGTGCAGCCCTTCTTTCTCCAGGATGCACACACACACACACACACACACACACACACACACACACACACACACACACACACACACACACACACACACACACACACACACACACACACACACACACACACACACACACACACACACACACACACACACACACACACACACACACACACACACACACACACACACCCTTTTAAAGCCTTCTTTGCCTTTAAAGAGGAGCTGGTTTACAGACTCTCTGCTGGTTGGTCAGTCAAAAGCTAAAAAATGCTTTTAGATATTGCTGTTTCATATCAGTATGTCTGATCCATTAAATTCTTGCTGAGAACTAAGCAGCAGAAATGTTTTACAGATAAATCCTGATTACAAAGGAGCGAACATTGTTTTTATGCTAATTAAACCCTCTAGGACCCATCCACTAAGTTTAGTGAACCTATCTGCCAATAGTGACTATAATCACGTAGTCAGATACAGCACGGACCCACAAATACCGGTCATAACTGTCCAAATTTCATTTGGTTTCCATTTGCAGGCCAGTATGTACCTTTCTTGCGAGTTTGTGTGCTTGTTCCTGGTCTGGCCCACTAGACTGTGAAATGAATCAATTAAATCAAACAGGTCTTTAATAAGTATGTGTGTGCTACTGTGTGTGTCGTGTGAGTGGTGTTGATGGGGGTTATGGCAAAAAACTCTATCATGTATCCACCTATTTTAAATCATAACCTGCCAGCAAATGCAGCCGTTTGGTTGTACTTTCTCTAACATGTGACCACAAGATTATCCTTACCAG